CTCAGCCCCAGTATCAACTCTAGTCCTCCGGACCACACTATCAATGAAAAAAACTGATGTGAAAGGGACAGATGAGGCCAGCCTAGGCTACACAGCAAGATTTTAAAACATACACAGAGAGACGGGAGGGAAGGGAAGAAGGTGAACACTGTACATAGGGACCAGTAGCGCGGTCCCTCTCACATGCTAGGCAAGGACTCTATTAAACAGATCGACTTACTCCTTGGCTTTCCTCTTGCTTCTGGATTTGTGTTTTAAGAATTGATAAATTCCGGGCTGGAGAGATGGCTCAGCAGTTAAGAACACTGGTTATTCTTGCAGAAGACCCAGGTTCGAATCCCAGCACCCACATGGCAGCTAACAACTGTCCGTAACTCCAGTCCCAGGGGATCCAACAGCCTCTTCTGACCTCCGTGGGCATTGCACAACACGGGTGTGCTTACCTACATGCAGGCAATACATGCATACACATAAAATAAAAATAACAAAATTGAAAAAAAAATTGATAAATTTTAGATTCAAGCTTTTTTTTAAGGTGTTTTTGAGATAGGGTCTCCCTGCAGCCCCAGCTGGTCTGTAACTCCCTATGTAAACCTCAGTCTCAGAGAGAGTCACATGTTTCTGCCTCCTGGGATTAAAGGCATGTGCCACCATGACTGGCTGGGTTCAAGCATTTTAAACCTGAGTGCTGACTGCCTCTGTTTCCTCTCCTCTGCAATGGCTTGCTGGTACCGTACTTGGGAGATAACCACTGCATCAAGGTAATTTCCCACAGAACACCTACAGAAACAGAAGCTGCATTTTAACAAGATCCCCAAGAGATTCATATGCATATTACATTTAAGAGCACTGGCAAAACTTAGAATCCTCCACAAACACCAAAAGGTAGATCTCAGAGCTCTGCTCTGAACACCATACTGAACAAAAGACTGCATATACCCACGACAATGATTCTGAGCCCAAGAGGGAGAGAATACACAGAGAACCATTTCTACAGAATCACGGAACAGTTAAAGATGCACCTCTGCCCCTGCTGCTCCTCCTCTAAAACAGAGCTCTGCAAAGTGCAATACAGTCTGAGGAAACACTCACAGCATATGGTACAAAAGACTCCAACATCAATTCCCCAACCTTGTGCTTTCCGAGAGTTGAAAAAAATCTTTTTTTCAGAAAATGTTGTTTCAATAATACAAATCAAAAGATTATAAGACTTCCAAAGACAGACAGAGAGAGGGTTATGACTTCCTTACTGAGGCTATAGTGACCTCAGAAAGGTCGTTCAAGGGCAGATGAGCCCGAAGAGCCTTGTTAATAGCATGCCCACCTTTCACCGGTTCCTTACTGGGCTAGAGCCTCTCCCAGATTTTATTCACAGTGTACCTGACACATACTAGAGACTCAGTTACTGTTTTAAAATAATAGGAAAAAATAGCAACAAAAGTCAACCTCAATGACCTTGATCAATCTAAGGCACATTTCCTCAATGGAATCCCTGGTTTTTGAGAAATTTCTAAGAAAGCATAGTATCAAACCTCTAATTAAAACAGTTCAGAATATTCTCCCATCCAGTAGCTTCAAGGTAAGGTTTCTGTTCTCTATTATTAATCCTATTCTACTATTCCATGACCCTATTAAACTTATCAACCTATCCAATAAGAAACAATTGTGTCCATGAAAGACAGAGAAGTCACTGTTGGCCAGCAATATAATCAGAGGCTTGAATGTATCAAGGATGTTAAAACAGTTTCTTACTATGTAGCCTAGGCTAGCCTTGAACTCTGAGTCCTCCTGCCTGTTTTCCCAGGTCTGAGATAACAGAATGTGCCACCGCGTCTAGCTGAATCTGACCATTATTAAGTCATTAGTAAGTGTAAAGAGTAGCCTACAGGAAAGATCAGCTATTTTTTTCTAGGTCCAGATTCAAGATGCCTTAAGGTAATATTTATTTAAATTATATATAAAAGACTTGAATTGATACTGGGAACAGTATCAAACACACAGAGATCACGAACAAAATCTCAAATGAAGTACTAAAGATATTGGTATATTCATCTAGTAAAGAAAATCAAGAAAAGATTACAAAAGTATGTTTAAATATCAAAAGGGAAGACTCTAAATGGAAATCTTAACTTCCCATTGCCTAAATAAAGCTTTATGAAAATGAGGAAACACATATGGGGCTTGAAAGTACTCTGTTCCCAATAATCTATCAAGTGCTTTTCACTACACATCTTGTACAGACAATTGTTAAAGGACTCCAAGAAAAGACATTCTCTCAAAGTTTTGTTACTCAGCTTCATGTAGGTCTAGTTTAAATAAAATGTATGTAACAGCTGACTGCAAGGCCACAGAGGAAAGAGCTAATCTTATAGATTTGCCTGTCTTCTGCAGCTAGCAGCTTGCCAACACACATGACAAACCTCCAAAAGTACCTGGGAGTCTTATTAAGAATTACCACTCTCTCAGACAAAAAGTCTTAATTGTAGAATAAGCAAAACACCACTGGCACTGGAATGCAGCTCTCTAAATTTCCAAGTGAATCCACTTTCATGTTAAACAAGGGAAGCAACAAAAAAGAGTAATTGTCCTATTCATTACAAGAGATAAGAATGGCACTTCTGTTTGCAAACTTAATACACTCCAACTAGTCCTGTTAACTGCCCAATGAACCCCCAAATGCACTAACTTAGTCAACTCTTCCCATGACCCAAGTTCTTTATGAAATGGGTTAAATGTATATAACCCATTTTCACAGATTTCTTTGCTATATGAAATCGAATTTGTATGAAAGAAGCAACAAAGATACTGTTATAAAAAATGGTAACAAGGCCTGGAGAGGTGGCTCAGTGGTTAAGAACACTGTTCGGTTCTAGGGGATCCAACAGCCTCCTCTGTCCTCTGCAGGCACTGCACAACACAGGTGCACTTACCTACATGCAGGCATAACACTCATACACATAAAATAAAAATAATAAATAAAATATTTTGGGCCTGGAGAGATGGCTCAGTGGTTAAGAGCACTGACTGCTCTTGCAGAGGACCTGGGTTCAATTCCCACAGGGCAGCTATGAACGGTCCTTAACTCCACTTTGAGGGGAATCTGAAGCCCTCTTCTGACCTCCACAGCATTGCCACAACATAGGTGCACACACATGCATGCAGACAATACACTCGTACACATAAAATAAAAATAATAAATAAATTTTTTTAAATGGTAAGAAAGTCTCCTGAATTTCAAAATTCTATGCCCAAAAAGCTGGCTTATTCACATAGGAACAGACATGCTTCAGTGATAAATCCTTTCAAATGCATCAGACATACTACTGCGCAGCTAAGTTTTATACAGTACAGGACCCAATACAAGGCTGGTGTCCCACTAGGTTCAATGGCTAATGTTCTACCTGATAAACTTTCATAAACCGCTATCCCCCATCTTAAAGTCAGTGGCTAGGTTTAACAAACTCTGTGAAGAGTTCATTTCAGTTATGCCTGTCTTGATCAATGTGAAACAATGTGATCTTCTTGTTTTCTTACTAAGGGACAGAAAGATGGTGTACAAAGGAAACATGACTGTGAAATCTGGGAGCTCACTAGACAGTTTGAGGGGAGGACACCTTTGAAAACAGTGCCTAGAAGCGAGCAAGACCCTGGGGGACAAGATGGGGCAGAGACTAACACAGAAAGGTGGCAAAGAACCTCAGGAAAACTGAGCTTCCTTCAAACTAGATTTATATCTTTCATTTTAAACGCAGTTTAACTAGACATGATCCTCTTGGTCCAGAACTACTTCTACATTACACTACTGAAATAAAAATGTCCTCACTAACTCTTGTACAGAATTTCATAGAGTATTACTTTATTCCAAAATAATATTGGTTAATCAGCCATGTCGGGCATTTCTGTGGATATTTCCAAGTAAATTCTCTCTTACAGCTTCATATGGACATTCATGGGATGAAAATAACAATACACAGTGATTTTAGATTTTGGAGAACAAATTCTAATTCTTTCACATACACAACACCATGTATGCTGGCAGTCCCTAGAAAGTGGTATCAAACCACACATTTGCACCATAGACCCCTGGACTCCCCACAGAGATGATGCCAGAATCTGAGGACAGAGCTGGTGGGCAAGTACACTCAGTAAGAGCACTCAAGGGAATTCTGATACTCAACCCACCACCGCCTCCTGCCCTTATTGCCATTTCCTACTAATAACGTGCCGCCCCCCGCTGCTGAGGTGCTCTGCTCATCTACACCAAATGCCAGCTAAGTGAAGTCATTAGATAAAGCATCTGAATTCAACTGGCATTTACCAGCTCTTAAGAGGTAAAAATATATCTATGAATGGCAAGTCAATTTCACCTCCACAAAATTTCACTGTAAAGCTACATAACAAATTCTGGTATGAAAGCTGTATACCGTCACGGCTTTTCAGTCCAAGCATTTAAGTCAGTTAATATAGTTCCATATATCAAATTTTCACTAACAGTGGGAAAAAATTCCAACAACATTCCTCATGATCCATTTATGATTAAGTAGCAAATAACTCAGATATTTTTAAGCAAGTAAATAAAGAGAATTATTTCAAGGTTAGCATAAATCATCCAGTGTACTTTATATCTCATAGCTTAGAGCACATACAGATTCAGAAAGTTACTAATGACAGGTAATCTTAAGAACTATTTGTTAAAGCAGTGGCATTTCAAACCATCACTCCTGGTTTTCAGTGTTCACATGACTCCAGTCCATTGGAATGTATCTCACAAACTTCTTCAACTTTCATATATCCCCCTGTTAGTGTGTGCCCACTGTACAGCACATTAACAAAATTTGAGACTTCCCAAACTCCACACTTCTAAAATCACCTGACAACAGGAGAATATCAACAATCTTGAATTTTTTACAAAACCTAGTAGTTGTCAAGTCTATTCTACATACAGTTAGGCCCCGATGCTGAAAACAAACTTAGAAAACAAACCAAGAAAGCACACTTACCTTAATCGGAGCACAACTAAACTTAATTTTCCTATTTGCCGGGATTTCTTCTTCTTCTGGTAAGCCAAGGATTTCAGAGTATTCCATATCAGGCTGATAGCAATTGCTCTCATCACTGCCCTCGTCATCCTGCTCAGTGCCTGTCTCTCCCCAGTCTGAGTTATACCTGGATCTCACCCTATACACGTTATAGTCACTATGCATATATACATGGGAACTCTCAAAATTATTTGAGTCTTCAGGTAGTTCTTTTCCACAGCTAGATGCAGAAGCATCAGGAGAGGTTAAATCACCACCTGTAAGGTCTTTCCTCTGTTGCTCTGCTGTCTCAATCCCAACCAAATTAGCTTCACCATCTTTTAAAGCTTCGTTTTGTGGTGAGAGGATTTCAGACTTGGGCATCGCCTGGTTTTCAGCACAGGGTTCTTCAGAAACGTCTTTGTCAATTCTGTCCAGAGTCTCTTGGTGAGATGTAGAGTCCTCGGCTTCCTTGCTCAGCTGTCTCTCTTCACTAGGCATCGAAGCTAGAGAGGTACTTTGCGGAGCCACTTCTGGTACTGGAGTTGCATTACTCTCCTGAGCATCCTCTATATCAACACCTTCTTTATTCGAAGACCACGAATTAGAATCTTTAAGGTGGCCAAAAGTGTCAAGATTGGTAACGGTAACAGATGGCAAATTCAGAGGATAATGCCCAGTCACTGAGTAGTCACTGCTTTCAGTCTTCTCAGAAACGATGGCACCCGGGGACTCTGTGTTCTCAAATACTGCACTCAGTTGACTCACAGTTGGAGAGACAGCCTCAGTCCGGGAGCTAAGGCTGTCCAAGGAATCACTGCTGCCTCTGTTGGACTTAGAACCACCCCACTCATCTTGTGGTTCAGTCCCTCCAGCTTTCTCTTTCTTTGGGGAATAGCGATTATTTTGTCCTGACTCATGCACACTTCTCTCAAACATCTTTCGAGTCTCTGTAAACTTAGAATATGAAGGGCCATCATGCATTGTGTCAAATCTACTAATTCTTTCAGAAACAGAGGACTCCAACCTAACAACGGAGCCATCTGTTTTCTCCAGAAATTCTTTGGGCTTCATTCTTCTCTGAGGGGATGAAGGTCTACCTTTCCCCCTCGTTTTGGCGACCACAGCGGCATTCTCATTGGGCTCCATACCCATCTGCATGAATAGGTTCTTAATTCTGTTGACATTGGAGCCATATTTCCTACCCCTGCTCTGCTGGGAGCCCTCACCTTCTTTTGTTTTCTGTTCCCCATCTGACTTGGGTTTGTCAAAAGTACTTTTCAGGGCCTGGAACTCAGTCCTGTATGCATTCCTGTGAGGAGAGGCACTTCTGAGAGTGGTTCGTTCACCTGAAGACTCAGCTTTCAACATTTTTACTTCAAGGGTGAAAAGCCAATGCTCATAATGATTGGGTGGAAAAAAAACACCTCTTCTTAATCCCCAGTATTTGGTTAAGTAAAGGAAATCTCGAATGGCATACTTTTTCAGTGATAGTCCCAAACAGGTGTACCAAGAAATTATTCAGTCAAGAGTTACACAAAATGGCTTTTTCAAAGCAAGACTAGAGGTTCATCTGTAATAGAAAAGAATAAATTCTGAATTCAGGTACTTATCTGAACTTACACTCAACTAATACGAACTTTATTTTCCAAGTGTTTTAGCCACATTTCAAATAAACTACTTCGAAATGGGAAGTTAAAGAAGTTCAAAAGTTATTTTGACTAGTTTTTGGTGACAAAGATGTTTCAAACAAAACCTAGAGAGATCCCTACCAAAATTTACAGCCCCCCCACACACACACAAAGCACATTTGACAGCAATATTTTAGCCCAAGTTTTGGTTGCTTTAGTGAATGATCATAAAAGATCCCAACAACTCATATACCTCTTTAAGAAGTCACCAAAATGGCCATCAAAGTCTATTTCATTTGGGAATTTTCCATAAGGTAGACCAGGTAGAAGTTTGGGGTATGTGTCTCCAAACTCTAAAACCTGCCCACAGAGGCTTGATCATCATTCTGGTCCAACAGTCTCATCTACGGCATCCCCAAGGCAATAGTGCTTCAATTTCAGGACAAAACTGGCAGAGTTAAGTTCTGGAATGTCAATTAAGTTTCACTCTAAGTTCTTATAGACATTGTTTGAAAGTTTCTTATGAGTGGCTATTATTAATTAGGGAGTGGGATGTTGACTCTCATGGGAATAGATGCATGGGAATGTGTCACTCAGAACGCGTGAATCTATCAATGCCACTCCTTCCACAGTCCTCACTTGTTTATTCCTCCTGACCCCTAACTTACAAGCTGAAAACCCAAACGCCATGCATTGCATGCTTACTGCTCTCCAGCGCCCAGTCCAACAATTCAACCACACAATGCGGTTCTAAAGATTTTTCATTTTGTTTTTGTTTTGTTTTAATATCATGCCGAACCACATCGCCCTCATGCTCCATCAGCTGTGGAAGCCCACACTTTCAGTTAAATCAGCTCCAAACTCGTTTCCTGGCCCAGCATGCATGCGTGGCCCATGCAGGCAAACAAGAAAGGCTTTCTGAGTGTGGTGCCTGGTTTTTTGTATTGGTTTTTTTTCTCTCTCTCTTTTATTTCTTCTTTCTTGTAAAGCATAGACAATGTCCTTCTGCCCATAAACACCCTCCCCTCTCCCCTGCTCGCACACCCCGTTCCCTCCCCCGCCAATTCTAGCCCGAGGGGGCGGAGGCGGGGGCGGTGGGGCCGCCGGGGATTCAAAACCTGCCCTCACAAAAGACAAACATAAATAACACCAACTTGAGAGGCAGCCGATTCCCAAGCCTGGTTCGGGACGCAGTCCCTCGGCCCCGGGGTAGGGCCGGGAGAGCAGGTGACGCCAAGCGCTATGGTAGGAGGTCGCAGTCTAGCTTTGTGCCAAGCAGCACCTGGAGTCCTAGCACATTGGCTGCGGCTGCCAGGCGGATCCCAGAGTGGCTCGGGGAAGAGCCGAGCTCCCCGGCCACATTAACAAGAGCGCAAATGACTGGGTGATGATCACAAATGCCTGTTTTTCCTGCCAGTGTGCCGGGAAACAATAGATCCCACGGATAGAGCCTCCGCTCCTCACCCC